ATGTTTTACCCCTGCCTTGGCTATATTCAAACCTTAAGAAGATTTTTATAGTGGAATTTTCTGTTATGTTAATTTTTAAATCTGGTTGGAGGTTTGATGAATGTAGCTGCAAAAAAATTTTAGTAAATGCCAAGACAATAACAGCAAAACCAATTTATTCTCATTTTGAAAGGAACCTGCTAAGCTTATAATTAAATCAAGTACCTTAGTTGGAAAAAGGATACTACTATGATATTCCTTTCTCTTTATTGTTGGTGTGTGAACTGGTAGATGAGCAGAATCTACAATCTGAATCAAGGAAATGAAAATTAACAAGGGCAAGTTACAGATATCACCGAAATCATAAGAATTAAATAATTCCTCAATTAAGGCAAAAGAATTATACTTGTTAATAGGCAAAAATATAGTAAAATTCAAATTCTCACAGTGTTGACAAGATATTTTAAGTAATTTAGATATATGCTTCACATTCTACAAACAAAATATATGTATGTTTTATATAATTTATTATGGTTTGGCTATTTTAAAACAATACATCATAGCATGTAGACTACATTAAAAAAATACTAATCATCTTTGTAAGGAATTTTTATTAAGTAGACACATGATCACAATCCTCAACCCTTTGAAATGCCCATTTTATAAGTGTAAATAGGGACTTTGTGAAGGTTCAGCAAGATTTTGTGAGTACTCAAAAATAAACATTTCTTTCCTGGGAACTCATAGAAAACACTTCTTGAAACAGGAAGAATTGGATGCTTGTGGGTGTTACTGGGGAATACAGTTGTAAGGAAGACGTTAAATGGTTGAGCAAAGCAGGTAACTCTACAGACTTGAAGAATGTCTCTCCTTTCAGGTTGGCAGATAACCATGAAGAAAACATACAAGTTTGGTAGTAAATGCAGTAGACTCAGGACATCTGCCGAATTTACAAAGATACTTTAAAAAGTTGATGGTGTTTCACTGTGCTATTTACTATGTATCCCATTAATAGCCTTTTTCATATGAATTTGTAAAAACGAATATAACAAAGATTCCCTCTTAAAAATCTTAGATACATGTATTGATGAATTACCCTTATTTTAGTTTTCTTTTGCTTAATAAGATGCTATCTTCAGGCTAAAGAAGAGACACCACATCATATTAGTTGTTGCAAAAGGATTTGACAAATTCAACATCCATTCATGATAAGACTCTCAACAGACTAGGAATAGAAAGGACTTCCATAATCTGATAAAAGGCATCTACAAAAAACAGAGGCAAGCATTACCACTAAGGATGAAAAACCAATTGCTTTCACCTAAGAATGAAAACAAAGCAAGAATGACCACCACCACCACTTTTATTCAACATCAAGATGAACCCTAGCCAGTGTGCCAGAGAGAACTGGACAGGATAAGTATACACATTAGTAAGAAAGTAAACTGCCCTGTTTGTGGATGACATGATTGTCTGCTTAGATAATTCCAAGGAATGTCAAAGGAAAAAATCTTGAACTACTAAATTTGGTAAGATCACATGACACAAGGTTAACACAAAATCGCATTTCTGTATAACAACAGTAAATAATTGGAAACTGATTATTTTTTTCTAAGACAATTTTTCAGAAGTTTAAGGTTCACAGAAAAATTCAGGGGAAAGTACAGAGATTTCCCAAATATTCCCTGCCCACACACATGCATAGCCTCCCCAATTATCAACATGTCCCACCAGAAGTACGATCAGTGAAACACTGACACATCATATTCACTCAGAGTCCATGGTTTGCATTAGGGTTCACTCTTGGTGTTGTACATTCTGTGCATTTAGACAAATGAATAGGCATGTATCCACCCTACGGTATCATACAGAGTATTTTCACAGCCTTGAAAATCCTGTGCTTCACCTATTCATCCCTTCTCCCCCAAACCATGGCAACCACTGATCTTTTCACTATACCCATAATTTGCCTTTTTCAAATGCCATATGGTTGGAATCATACAATATATAGCCTTTTCAGATTAACTCTTACGTATTAATAATTTAAGGTCTCTTCATGTCTTTTCCTATCTTAATAAATCATTTCTTTTTAGTAGTGAATCATGTTCCATTGTCTGGATGGACCATCTATCCATCCACCTGCTGAAAGACATCTTGGTTGCTCCCAAGTTGTGGCAATTATGAATAAAGCTGCTGTAAACATCCATGTACATAATTTGATATGGAGTTAAGTTCTCGTTTTCCTTATGTAAATATCAAGGAGTACAGTTGCAGGGTAGTATGGTAAGAATATGTTTAGATCTGTAAGAAACTGCCAGACTATCTTGTGAAGTGGCTGCACCATTTTGCACTGTCACCAGCAATCAGAGTCGCTGTTGCTGCACCAGCATTTGGTGTTGTCAAAATCTGTTCCAGATTTTGGCCACTCTGATGGGTGTGTATTGTCTCATTGTCGATTTAATTTGCACTTCTCTGATGACCAATGTTAGGAAACATCTTTTCATATGCTTATTTGTTTCCCATCCAAGTACTAACCAGGCCCGACCCTGCTTAGCTTCCGAGATCAGACGAGATTGGGCACATTCAGGGTGGTATGGCCGTAGACTCGTATGCTTATTTGTAATCCATGTATCTTCTTTATTGAAGTACCTATTTAGGTCTTTGGCTCATTTTTAATTGAGTTATTTGGGTTTTTTATTGTTGAGTTTTAAGAGTTCTTTGTATATTTTTGGATAACAGTTTAAATTTGTCTTTAGCAAATATTTTCTCTCAGTCTGTAGATTGTCTTTGCATTCTCTTGACCTTGTCTTTTACAGGCAAGTTTTTAATTTTAAGGGAGTACAGTTATCTTTTGATAATGTATCTAAAAAGTAATTGTCAAACTTAAGGTCATCTAGATTTTTTCCTATGATATCATCAATGAGTTTTATAAGTTTTGCATTGTATATTTAGATCTGTGATCCATTTTGAGTTATTTTTGTGAAGACTGTAAGATCTCGTCTAGATTAATTCTTTTGCTGGTGGATGTCTTGTTGTTCCAGCATGAATTGTTCAAAGACTATCTTTGCTCCACTCTTTTGCTTTTGCTCTTCGCTCAAGGATCATTTGATGATATTTATGTGGATCTGTTTCTGGGCTTTCTCTCGCATTGATCTATTTGTCTCTTCTTTTACCAATACCCACACTGTCTTGATTATTGTAGCTTTATAGTAAGTATTGACATTGGGTAGTATCAGTCCTCCAACATTGTTTTTCCCCTTCAATATTATGTTGGTTATTCTCGGTCTTTTATCTCTCTGTATAAACCATAAAATCAGTTTGTCAATATCCGCAAGATAACTTGCCAGAATTTTGACTGGGTTTGCATTGAATCTATAGGAAACTGATTTTTAATTACTAGTTCAGTACTATTTACAGTGCCTCTAAGATTTAAATATATATATATATATATAACTAAATAAATATATATATATATATATATTTACATATGCTTGTAAATAAGCTTAGTGAAACATGCACAGGATCTGTTGACTGACAACTACCAAGCACTGATGAAAGAAATTAAAGAAGCCCTAAATACATAGAATGACATATCATGTTCAGGAATTAGAAGATGCCATAGAGATAGTATATTAATTCTCATTAAATTAAATTATTATTTATTTAATGCAATATGAATCAAAATCTCAAAAAAGAGTTTATGTAGATATAGACAAGTAGATTCTAAAATCAAAGAATCAAAGAAACTAGAATAGCAAAAGCTTTTCAAAAAACTTGTAAAAGTTTCAGTAAAGAAATAGAAGATATAAAGAAGAACCAGCAGAATTTGACAAATAAAGAAAAAATACAGTAATCACTAAAAATTCAGTGGCTGGCCCAATAAAAGAATAGAGAGGGCAGAGAACAGATTCATGAACTTGATAGAACAATATAAATTATCCTATATTAACTTTATAGAGAAAGTAGACAAGAAAAAATGGGACTATTACAAAAGACCTAACATCAGAGTCCCAGAAGGAGAGTATAAAAAGAGTGAGGCTGAGAAAATACTCCCAAGAAATAATGTCTGAAAATTTCCTGAGTTTGGTTAAAGATATAAACAGTAGATTCAAGAAGCTGACTGAATTCCAAGTAGGATAAACCCAAAGAAATACAATGTAAGATACAATGTAGTAAAACTTCTGGAAACTAAAGACAAAAAAATAAACTAAATTAAAAGATAATAATAGTAAAAGCACCAGAGAGAAACAACATATTAAAGTGGAACCCTAACTGCACATTGCTAAATGAATGAAGCCAATCTGATAAAGCTGCATGATTCCAACTATATGACACAGTGGAAAAAGCAAACCTATAAAGATAGTAGAAAGATTGGTGGTTCCCAGGATTTCAGGTAGAGGGAGGAAGGGAAGAATAAATTGATCGCAGGAATTTTTAAGACCGTGAAACTGCACTTAAATGATACTGTAATGATAGATACATGTTATTATCCACTTGTCATTTATCCAGTTGTACATCTGTAAAATGTATAATACAAAATGTGAACATTAACAATAGATTTTAGTTAATAATCATGGTGCATAACTCTAAAAATGTACCACACGAACATAAGTTGTTAATAATGAAGGAAACTGGGAGAGAAGGGGTGGTGAGACAGGTAAGTAAGACTTCGTATTTGCCACTGAGTTTTTCTGTGAATGTAAAACTACCCCCAAAATAAAGTCCATTAATTTTTTTTAAGATTTTATTTTTAAGTAAATCTCTACACCCAACATGGTATCAAACCTACAACCCTGAGATCAAGAGTTCCATGCTCTACTGACAGAGCCAACCAGGAGCACCTAAAGCCCATTAATTTTTTAAGTGATTTTAAAATCAAGACAGTTTCAAAGACTGTCTAAGAGAACTTGTCTGCAATCTACCTAAGATAGCTACAATAAGTTCTACACAGAAAAGAAATGAAGGACTCGAAATGAGGGAAAAACATGGAAAGAGTGAAAATATGGGTAGATTTTTTTTTAACCACTCAAATGGTGTCCCTTCTCTCCTACTCCCCCAAAGGAGGAGAATGATCATCAATGCAAAGGGTAGCTGGAGAAACATCCAGAGTCAGCTTCACTCTCGGGAAGGGACACTGCATCTCCTTGTGGTTTCAGTTACTCTACACGTTCAGAGAAATTTCTCTAGTAACAGACTATAGAAATGATTCCTGAAAGTATAGTCTTGATAGATTTTCTAAATTGTGTTAGATGGTTGAAACAAACATTATAACACTGTCTAATATCCCTCAGTGCATATAGAGAAATATGTAATACAATTACAAATGAGGAAGAGTAAAATGATGTAAAGGGAGGTGAAGTTGCCACACTTCATTTGATCAAATAACATGTTGTCACAGTATAGTAGCAAATTTTGTATACATAATGAAATCTCTTAGATGAAATGAACCAATTTCTCCAAAAGTACAAACTACCACACATTCAATATGAGATAAATAATTTGAATAGCCTGATAACTATTAAAGAAATCGAATTTGTAATTTTAAAACTCTCATAAAGAAACCTCCAGAATAGCTTTATTGGAAAATTATAGCAAATGTTTAAAAAAGAATCATCAATAATTCTCTATATTTTTTTACAGAAAATAAAAGAGAATACTTCCCAACAGATTTTATGAAGCCAGTATCACTTTGATGGCAAAATCAGACAAGCACAGCACACACACACACACACACACACACACACACACACACATTACTGACCAACATTCTGGATTAATGTGGATACAAAAGTCTCAACAGTGTATTAGCAAATAGAATTCAGCAATATATATGAAGCATATACATTATAAGTGTTGTGTTTATTTCAGAGAAGGAAAGGTGATCCAATATTTGAAAATCAATGTATCATATTAACAGGCTAAAGAACAAAGAATTCATCATATAATATATTCATGCAGAAAAAAAGCATTTTGACAAAACTTAACATTCATTTGTGATAAAAAAAAAAAAAACTCTCAGCCAACTAGGAAGATGAACTTCCCCAACTTGATAAAGAAGATCTACAAAAATCCTACAGCCAACATCATAATTAATGGTGAAAGACTGAATTGTTTTCCCTTAATGTGAGTACAAGAGCTGTCTATTATTATCAGATAGCAGCAGAAGTTCTAGCCAGGGCAGTAGGGCAAGGAAAGGAAGTAAAAGCCATACAGATTAGGAAGGAAGAAACAAAATTTACTTATTCTCAGATGACATAATTATAGAAAATTCCAAGGAATCTACATACACACTCACAAACAAAAACCTCCTAGAAATTAATGAGCTTTAGCAAGTTCTCAAGTTTCAAGATCAACATACAAAAATCATTTCACTGGGATGCCTGGGTGGCTCAGTGGTTGAGCATCTGCCTTCGGCTCAGGTCATGATCCTGGAGTTCCAGGATCGAGTTCCACATCGGGCTCCCCAGAGGGAGCCTGCTTCTCCCTCTGCCTATGTCTCTGCCTCTCTGTGTGTGTCTCTCATGAATAAATAAAATCTTTTTAAAAAATCAATTGCACTTCAACAATACTAGCAACAAATACATGGAAATTGAAGTTTAAAGTATAGTACCATCTACAATTGCTAAAAAAAAATAAAGACTTAGATATAAATTTCACAAAAGACATATAAGACTTGTATGCTCAAAACCACAAAATGCTGATAAGAGAAGTCAAAGAGTATCTGAAAAAGTGGAGAGGCATCCTGAGTTCATGAATTGGAAGATTTGGTTTAGTAAAGATGCCAGTTTTATCTAGATTAAGTAAAGGCTTACCGCCGCTTCTCTCAAAATAATAGGACTGCAAGGCTTTGTTATGGATACAAACAGTATTATTCTAAAATTTGTATGGGAAGAGGATAAATGGGTATTTATTCACAGATGACATGATCTTACGTGAAGAAAACCCTAATGATTCTCCAAAAATCAGTTAAATGAATATAGCAAAGTTGCAGGATACAAAATCGATACATAAGAATCAGCCATATTTCTATATACTAAGAATGAACAATAGGAAAAGGAAATTAAGAAAACAGCTCCAAATGGATAGGGGTCATAGCATGGATAGGGGGGAAAATGCTTAGGAATAAACTTAACTGTGGAGGCAAATGACTTGTACGCTGTAAACTACAAAACATTGGTGAAGGACATCCAGAGGACACCAATGAATGGAAAAACACCCTATGTTCATGTATTAGAAGAATTGATATTTTTAAGATGTCCATATTACCCAAAACAATCCACAGATGCAGTGCAATTCTTATCAAAATCTCAGACATTTTTGCAGAAATAGGAAAGTCTATTCCAAAATGCAATAAAGACTCTCAAGGGATCCAAATAGCCCAAACACTATTGGAAAAAAGAACATAGTTGGGGGTTTCACACTTAGAAAGCTAAGTGTGGTACTGCCATCCAGATACTCATATACACCAATGTAATGCCCAGAAATAATTAAATATATATATATGACCAAGTGATTTTCAACAATGGTGCCAAGACCATTCAGTAGGAAAAAGATGGTACAGATGGGCTTGGGAAAACTGAACTGCTACAAAAGAATGAAACAAGACCACTTTCTTACACCATCCACAAAAATAAACTAAGATGGATTGAAGACCTAAATGTGAGACCTGAAACCATACAAATACTAAAAAAATAAAGGCAGCAATCTCTTCGACATCACCCTTTACAACATATTTATGGACATATCCCCTTAGGGAAGAGAAACAAAAGCAAACATCAACTATTGCAACTACACCAAAATTTAAAAAAAGAAAAATTTGCACAACAGAGAAAACCAACAAAATGAAAAGGCAACCTACTGAATGGGAGACAATATTTGTAAATGCTATATCCAATAAGGGTTGATATTCAAAATGTATAAAGGACTCATGCAGCTCAACACCAAAAAAAAAAAAAACAAACAAACAAACATATAATCTTATTTTTAAATGGGCAGAGGACCTAAATAGACATTTTTCCAAAGAAGGCATACAGATGGCCAACAGACACATGAAAAGATGCTCAACCTCACTCCTCATCAGGGAAATGCAAGTCAAAAACACATTAAGATAGCACCTCACACCTGTCAGAATGGCTGTTATCAAAAAGACAAGAAGTAAGTGTGGACAAGGATATGGAGAGAAGGGAACCCTGATCCACTGTTGGTGGGAATGCAAACTGGTACAGCCACTGTGGAAAACAGATACTATATGATTTTACTTATATATGGAATCTAAAAAACAAAACAAATGAACAACAACAACAAAAAAGAACAGAAATGGACTAATAAATACAGAAAACAAACTGTTGGTTGCCAGAGGGGATATGAGTGGTGGGATGAGTGAAATGGGTGAAGAGGATCAAGAAGTACAAACTTCCAGTTATAAATAACTCATGGAGATAAAAAGTACAGCATAGGGAGTATAGTTCGTAGTTTTGTAATAATGTGTGGTAACTACATTTATGGTGGTGAGCATTGAGTACTAATAACATTTTATGTCAACTATAGTTCGATAATGAAAGAAGAAAAAGAGCAATGTACATACTTTAATTTAAAACACTTTATTGAAGGGAAGGAGAAACTAAGTGGGGAAAAATTTGAGAGGAAGACAAACCATGAGAAACCCCTAACTCTGGGAAACAAAGGGTTGCCAAAGAGGAGGCAAGTGGAGGATGGCATAACTGGTGATGGGCATTAAGGAGGGCACATGATGTGATGAGCACTGGGCGTTATACTATATATTGGCAAATTTAATTTAAATAAAAAATAAGAAGCAATACAGCTAATCAAAAAATAAAAAATTTACTTTATTGCTAAAAAGCACTGTCATCTGAGCTTTCAGTGAGTCACAGTCACTGATCATAGATCACATGACAAATATAATAATGAAAAATTGAAATATTGCAAGAATTATCAGAATGTGACACAGAGACAAGATATGAGCAAATGCTATTGGAAAAATGGCACTGAGAGACTTGCCCGACCCGGGGTTACCACGATATTATTTTGTAAAATTGCAATATCTGTGAAATGCAGTAGAGCAAAGCACAATTAAATAGGATTTACCTGTACAAATTATTAGGAAAATAATAGACTAGCCAATGAATGTGATTGGAAAACTATCAAAATGGCAAAAACTGATTTGTATTTCCTACCAAGCAAAGATATAATTTCCTAAATGTGAAAAGCAAAACCTTAAATATTTTTGGAACCTTTGGGATAGAAGGATAGATGGAAATGGATTTCTCAGAAAACACACAAAAAGTGCGAGGAATAAAAGAAAGGACTAACGAATTTTACTGGGTTAAAATTAAAAACTTCAGCTTGACAAAATGAAAGCAATAATTAGATACCACTTTATACCAATCAGAATTGCAAATTTTCAAATGCCTAGAAGCAGTTAGTGTTGACATAGGTTTAAGGAAATGAGAATTTTTACGTGCTGCTAAGAGTAGAAATAGATTCTGAAAAACTCTCTTCCCCAGGCAGAAGAGTGTGTGCATGCAGGGTGACCTGGAGTGTGGATGCAGAGCCCACATGGGGTGAGAATGGGCTATCTGCAGAGATGGGAGACTGGTCACAGAAGGGAGTTAGAAATGTGGACAGAGACAAAACTAGAATGAACCTTATGATGTTGGATTGGAATTATTTATGTGTGCACAAGTTCAGTTTTCATAGATAGATGGATAGATATAGATGATAGATTGATATATGATCGATATGTAGATAATATAGATAAATGAGATTGATGATAGAAGATAGATGATAGATAGATTAGATAGATGATGATTGATAGATAGATAGATAGATAGATAGATAGATAGATAGATAGATAAATTTTGGAGCACCTGGATGGTTCAGTCATTTAAGCAGCTGACTCTTGATTTCAGCTCTGGTGGTGATCTCGGGGTAATGATATCAAACCCCGCCTAGAGGGCTCCACGATCAGCAGGGAGTCTGCTTGTGATTCTCTCTCTTGCTCTCCTTCTGCCCCTCCTCCTGCTTGCACTCACTGCACTCTCTCTGTCTCTCCCTCTTTCTCTCAAATGAATAAATCTTAAAAAAAAAAAAAGATTTCTACATATAGACTGATGTACAAACTTTCTCTCGTAAAAGGGTCTGGAATAGGGATGCCTGGGTAGCTCAGCAGTTGAGCATCTGCCTTTGGCTCAGGGTGTGATCCTAG